TGCCTTCCCCCCCCCGCATAGAGGCCTTATGAACCCCCCCAGGATGCCTGTGTCCACCCCACCAGCAGCTTGGGTGTCGTCCCCTGTCACCCAGGAGCGGCAGGGCTACCTGGCCTCCACGCCAGACTGGAATCCCCCAAGGCTGGTCCCTTGGCCTCAGGCCCCTCCTGACCTCTGACATTCCCAGCATGGGCAGGAGACAGGGGCCTGTCGGGCTGAGGCCAATTCTCTGGTGATGCCCCAAGCTCCTGTGGGTCTCCCACCGGGAGCCTGCCTCAGTTTCCCTCTTGTTCTCCCGCTTGTCGTTCTGGACACGCCCCTGGGTCTGCAGATGCGAACCCTGTGAGATATAATTTAGACCTATATAGCAAGCTGAGCCCCGCACAAAAGCATGCAGGCGGGGAAGGACCACACCCATGGGGTCGTGCTCTCAGTGCCTCGAGATGACTGGTTGGAAAAACCTTTTTTTTTCAAAGAAAATTTTATACACATCAACACAGCTGGCTGGATTACTTGGGATTTTTAAGCGACCTGCTTTGAAGTCGATTGGGAAACCTGTCATGTACGTAACAGCACTGTAGCAATAAATGTGACATTTTGTAATGATGCAGTCCCAAGTCTTTCAGTGTTGGGTGTGTGTGTGTGTGTGTGTGTGTGTGTGTAGGGGCATCGGGAAAGCTGCGCCTCCCACTTGGGGCCATTGGCAGGATCCCTGGTCCTGAAGCCTCTGGGGCCACAGGTCCGCGGAGCAGGCCAGGAGCCCCTCCAGGAGGAAGCTGTGCCCAGGGACGCTGCACTTGGCAGGTGGCCATGAGAGTGGATCTCCAGGGCTTGGATCCTGCCAGCTCTAGGGCTCCAAAACTCCCCACACCCCCAGGGCCCCTGCCTCCAGCCTCGGCCCCACCTGCTGCCCAGGTCTGCACGAAGTCTGGGTCGCTCTGAATCTCTCCATGGCTCCCTGCTGCCAGACTTCTGCAAGCCACTGGCACAGTGCCCGGCGGGGGGGGAGTGGTAGCAGAAGCTGTGGGGATCCCGCTGATGGCTCCCTCAGCCGTCAGTGCCCTCTGGCCACCGTGGCTCTGCCCGGGGGCTTCCTCACGCCAGGAGGACACAGCTGGGCTTGCCCGCTCCATTGCGGGTGGATGGAGGAATTGCCCTCCTGGCCGCTGGGGAGGGCGGCCCCCAGGAGGGAGTCCCTTGTTGCGCGGCTGCCTTAGGCGGAGAGGGACGGGGTGCCCAGTGAGCCCCACGGCCCAGCACTCACCCCGACTCCCTGCTGGAGAACAGTGCTGGGCACCACGCACGATCAGAGCCACCCGGGGAGAGCCCAGGGTCTCGACCTGGGCCCGGTGGACATGGGGACCCGATCGCCCTCTGGGGTGGCGCTGTAGGGGGCAAGCTGCGTCCCGGGCCCCCACCCACCCCATGCCAGGAGCACCCCCAGTCGTGACGACCGCACGCGTCCCCAGGTGTTGCCCAGCGTCCCCTGGGGAGCAGCCTCACCGCGGTGGAGACCTAATGCTCTAAGGCCCGTCTCCCAAGGACGAGGTCCTGGCGCTGGTGGCACGTCTTAACTCCCCTCCCGCACTCGCTCCAACGGGAGCCCCTGCCCCGCCCCCGCTGACCTCCGCGGAGGCCTAGCAGGCACCTAGGACGCGCCAGGCTGGGCAGATCAGAGGGGGCAGAGGGGCGGGAGAGGCCGAGCCCCGGCGAGCCGGGAGTGCGGGAAGCAGAGCCGGAGGACCCGCCGGTGCCCCGGCCAAGAGGTCGCTCGAGGCGTCACCAGCGCTGCCCAGCGACGCCTGGCGACAAGGGTCCCGACGGGCCCGCCAAGCCACGGGCAGCCCAGGATAAGCAGACCGACGCCGGCGAGGACCCCACGAGGCGGGCTCCTCCCCTTCTCCTCTGCGGGACTCAACTTCCCTCGCCGTCAATGGCATCCCGGCACACACAAAGGGTAAAACGCGG